GAGTGCGAAAAATATACCAGTCATCCTTCGTTTCTCACGGCTACGCCGCTCGCCCCTCTCGCGTGCTCGCATTTTACCGAGTCCAAAAGAAAAATAAGAGACTGCTCGCAATCCTATCTTGATGACGCCTTTTCGGTGATCGCGATCTGGACAGAATCATATAATAAAGTCGAGACGGCAAGAAATTGATTGTTTGAATATCATCGAGTATAAAATGTTTTAAATAATAAGCTGACTGAAGGAACGGAACGTTTGTACTGACCTGCTCCGCTTGTGCACTAAACGTCACTTTTCAGGTGACCAGGAAGGCGAGCTGGAAACATTGTCAAGAATGACAAACAGACCTAGACCTACCGTCGATGACGATTTCTCTTCCTCTCTGGCTCCTTTTTTTCCATTGTTCAAAATCGAATGAAGATTTTAGAGAAGCGACCAATCCGTTTCCCCGCACACTGGTGTGCGGACTATTCAAAATACCGGGGTTTTCTGGCAGGCGGTATTTCAACCGCCTCGTCCCTACTCCCTTTTTTGGAACACGGCTCCGCCGCCAAAACTTTAATCTCGCACCCACACAATACCGCCAGCTACGCAGGCTATCGAAGTATTAGTCCAGTCCGGCCAATTATTTTCCGCGGAACAGTGGGGTCTGGAACGAACTTTAGTAGCGTTTTATCTCGAAAGATTCTCGATTTTCTTGGCCGAAATGTGTTAAGCCCATTTTTTCAATGCACCTACGTTAAACTGAAGAAGTAAATTTATCGATGTAGGGCGATTCAAAGGCAATTACATCTAGCAAAGAGCAGAAAAAATTTGAATGTCACGAAACAACCGGGTCACGCTCGCGACCTGTAACGCGTGCTATTACTTTTATCACAAACAAGACAAAAAAACCGTTGGGGGACAAATGTGAAAAAAAAACCTAATATTTTCATAATAAAAGCGATTGCTTCAGGCACAATAGTATCCCTTACAATAAACCAAGAAGGACATTACAAACAGAGAAGTCAAAGGAGCAGAATGACAAAGCAAGTGTTCGTTTATTACAATGTCTTCGAAATTTATGGAAATTCAAAGGGCGAGTCAAGTTCCAAAACGTGGAGAGCACAAAAATTTTATTCCTTTTTATGTTTTACTATCATTTCTAGTTTGTATTAATACAGATAGCAAAGTTCAGACAGGTGCCATACTTTTTAAAACTGCCCTCAAAGTTGAGCTATTTTCGTGTTTTGATGGAAGACCAATAACACGTGCCAGAAAAAAGATTCTTGCCGTTAAAATGAATAAATAGTTCGGAACTGTGATATGGCTAGGAAATCTAGAGTGGCGCCGGTGCTGGCCGGCCGGAAATTCAAAAATTCGTTAAAAAATATATTTCACATTTTTGGTCAAACGAAATCCATTTTTGTACAGTGGAACCCCGATATAACGATATGCCAAGGGAGCAGCGGAATTAGATCGTTATATCGACGTATCGTTATATCGAGACTCCCGATAGAACGATATTGCCGTAAAATAACCGAAAATATCGTTATATCGGGGTAAAATGAACATGTACTACATATGGTTTAATTAAACTTGTAATGAGTATCAAATGACTAACAAATGTAGCGTTTCAAGCACGCAGCAATGTCCTTAAACAATTTGCAAAGCATTAGACATTATCAAGGTTACACAAAAAAGTCTGTGGTATGAATCGTAAAAGGGAAACAAAACCAAACTTAAACATTTGAAGTTGCGACTGTAATCGTCTTTACTTTTCGCTGTTTGCGTGTTCATTGTTTTTCTTTTTTAACAGACACTTATTCATTAATTAAAGTACTCTTCAAGTTTGGTTTGCCTCATTTGTTTTATTTGCAACCTTGAAAACGCATCCTCCATCGCTGAAAGAGAGCAAAGGAATTCTCTCTCTCGTTCGCCCGAATCATCCAACGTATTAATAAAATCTCTAATTGCTTACTTTTTGTCACAAGAAGGAGTCAAAAATACTAAAACTGAAAGAACTAGTAAATCAACCTCGTTCCCAGGGTTGTCTCCTACAGAGAACCCTGGGAACGAGGTTGCTAGTAAATGACAAGGAGGATAAAGAGGCATCGTAAATTGAAAGCTGTTGACAGAAACGTTACAGATTACTGTACTCGATTACTGTAAGGTTATTGTATTAAATTCAATGTTTTGTTTAAATTGTATCTGTGTACTGATACTGTAATATCGTTATATCGGGGAAGATTTTACGCTCGGTGCGCTAAAAACTCATCGTTATATCGGGAATATCGTTATATCGAAGATCGTAGTATCGGGGTTCTGTCCCATACATTTTACTGTAACTTTTGCCGGGACATAGCATATTTAACTGTAATTACTTAGGTAGAGGCTTTAATATACCAGAATATAAGGGAAATAAAGTTTTCGATCCAAAATCACTGGTCGGTTCTTACGGAGACACGCTCTTAAATACCAAACCAAAAATTTTAGAAAAAACAAAATACTTAATACCCATATCTTGTAACACCAAAATACCGTATACCTGAATGAAAAAGACCCTGGATATCCGAATACTCAAAAGCCCTGGCCGGGCCTGATTTGTCGATCGGGGGAACAGTTATGCAGTGCTTCGAGCGGCAAAGCCTTAGTTCATCCACGTTTCTCCTGCAGCGTAGTGGTAGAGCATCTGTAATATACGGTGGCCCAGAAGGGTCACACATGCAAATTAAAAATGTTGCTGCAAACTAAAAATTTTACCTGCAAATTAAAAAAGTTGATGCAAATTAAAAATAGGACATGCAAATTAAAAATTGTACATGCTAACTAAAAATATCACAAACATGAACCATCAATGGGTCGACGGCTGTAAGGCCAGGTCGCACGGCTCGGACCAGGTCTTCATCACTCATACTGCGCGCGGGACTTTTCATTTTTAATTTGCATCGATATGTTTTCTATTTTCAATTTGCAGCACAATTTTTAGTTTGCATATACTATATTTAATTTGCGGGTAATATTTTTTAGCTTGCATGTACAATTTTTAATTTGCATGTACTATTTTTAATTTACAGCAACATTTTTAATTTGCATGTGTGACCCTTCTGGGCCACCGTAGTAATAGTAACCAAATGGTTACAGGGTGGACTCTTTTTGGGAATACAACTTTACTCGGATTGTGTTTTCCTCCCGACCTGTTTGTGTCACTGAAAAACCATCTTAAGTTTCTCATTTTTCCGTAAAATTCACCATCACGTTTCTATCAGCATCACGATAGTTTCAAAACTATTAGAATATGTCAATATTTATGCCCAATATTTTGTCATTTTCTGAAGAATATAAAATGTATTTTTTTTCTGTTCCTGAAATTCGCGTCATGCCAAGTGATAAAAGATATATTTATGCTAACGAATCTTCTAATACCAACTTCGCTGCAAATCAAAACAACTGGAGAATAGTAATCTGTTACGCGGGTAATCTTTTAGAGGACGGGTAGCTTGCAAACTAAACTGAACGCAGGGTTGTCGGAACAGCATCAAGAAGATTTATTCCAAAAATGAACGTAGTTTCCACGAAGTAAAACTCCACGACAGCACGTAACTCGTTACACTTACTCGGCCTCCGCCAACTTCAATAAATACTACCTTCGTCACACTTGACTAAACACGACCAACGTCAATCTCTCTTCGCTTGTGAAAACCAGTTAAAACTTAACTCGGACTCGCCTACTTATATATACTTACACAATAACATTCTAGAACTTTCCAAATTGTCTAATTATAGAAAGATTACAAAATATACCGCTTTAGAAACGCTTACACAAGATCCTTAAATAAACAAACTATGAACTCTCGCGAAGCTTCTAGAAAGTCACGCTAGTCACGCAATACAATTTTTTCGTAACATTATCATAGCGGAGCGCGCTTGCGGAGCACCATGGGTAAGAAAATTTAGTAAACTATCCATCCCAGAAAATTTGGTTATGACGTAGCGTACGCCCCCCCCCCTTACACACACTTCATGTAAGCTGATGTCAAATGTCACATCTTGGAGAAATTAACACTTTGTAAGCCATCGGCATGAGGATGAATTGGCAGCTGTCAAAATCAGACATCCGCTGACAGTAATCACATGACCATCTCGCGGGCTCAGATGAAAGATCAGTCGTTTTTCCTAAATATAAGCTGATATAGTATGTCACACCAACAAAAATAAAAATGAAATGAAACTTCGCTTTCACCAGCCAGGGCTGTCAGTTTAAAGTTACACGCACTAGCCAAATTAAGGTCAATTGGCAGCTGTCAAAATGGGACATGTGAAGACC